TAAATAATAAATAAATAATAAATAAACAGAATATCCATGTTCTCCACATGCATGCATGGGTTCTCTCTGGGTACTCTAGGCTCCTCCCACAGTCTAAAAACATTGATTGTTAAGTTAAATGTGTGTGCATCTCTGCCCTGTCATTTACCCTCAAACCATGCAGGAGGATGACGGGATAATTTCATGCATTGATTATATTTGAACATTTGAAAGCACAGAAAGCAATCTTTAAAGATGAATACAACCACTGGCAGGAATGGTAGCATCTATGTCGGAGATACTTCATTAGCAAAAGAGAACAAATAGGAAACTGAAGGATTCTTATGACGGGCCAACTGAAATAAAACAATCAGCTGAGAACCGACCTTCCCTGAAGGAAGTTTATACGTTTTTCTGCATCATTCTCACCAGGAATGCAATCAAAGTACATAAAAATACAGACCTTTTCCTTAAATTGTTGTATTTTCCACATAAAGAAGGGAAATGGCCAAAAAAACAACTACATGTGTGGACGCAATTATTGGAACCCATCATTTAATGGAAAAAACCCACAATGGTCACAGAAATAACCTATGACAAAAATAATAATCAATAAAAATTCCATTAAAGTTAAAACATTAATGTGTTTTTTCAGCTTTGGATTTCAGCTTTAACAAGCTCTGTTATGCTGTGGGCTGCTTTACTTCTTCTGCCCCAGGGCAGCTGTGGCAGCCACGTAGCGTACCACCATCTGCCTGCATAAACAACTGAATGTAGAATGAGTTACAGGTCCTTCTCAAAATATTAGCATGTTGTGATAAAGTTCATTATTTTCCATAATGTGATGATAAAACTTGAACGTTCATATATTTTAGATTCTTTGCACACTAACTGAAATATTTAAGGTCTTTTATTGTCTTAATACAGATGATTTGGGCATGAAAACAAGGACCCGGTCTATCTGGACTGGATCCTCCTAGGACCCGGTCTACCTGGACTGGATCCTCCTAGGACCCGGTCTACCTGGACTAGATCCTCCTAGGACCCGGTCTACCTGGACTGGATCCTATTAGGACCCGGTCTA